TTTAACATAACTCCCATATCAGCTTCTGTACCAGTGGTTCATCTTACCAGTACTGTCATTAAACAGACACTACTTGTTTTAATAAATTTTAAGGTTACAAATCTGAAGAAGAATGCATGAATTGCAATAGAAACATAATTCAGAGTTGGCTACTATTAATCAAGTATGTGGTTTAGAAGGAAGTTCCATGAGCTTCTCAAACTCGCTCCAAAGGAACTGAATAGTCCAGTACAGGAAGTGGTCCAGAGTTATGGACATCAGAACAGAAGGGCACATAGATGTAAGGAGAGTCATACAGGTCAAAGCAAAACTGTGAGTATCAAAAAGCCATTCTATAGACGGAGTCATAATTTAGAAGGACTGGTCATTGAAAGAAAGAAAATTCAGAGTAGTAGCAGCAAGTTGTTTTTTTATTCTTTTGGGAAAGGGATGGTAAGTAGATTGTAATTCAGGTGCCAAATCTCGTCTACAGACAAATGCCAAGGCTTGACATCAGGAAGCAATGTCAATCTGTGAAGTCCATCATGAGTCTAGAGGAAAGGGGGGCAATGAATAAAGGTACTTGTTATTCCAGTGGAAACTACTATTCTCAGCTCAAGCAAGGCCAACAAAGAAATGAATACCTGTCCTGAAAGGGTTTTTCTTGGATCACACTCAGGTGTTACATCATACTTAAATGGAGCCTGGTCCACTGTACTTACTGAAGGGATCCTGGGTGTTATTCTCCTCAGGAGCACCCTGGAGAACCAATCTTGACTTGCTCACATTGCTTCTTCTTAGTAACTATTAGGCTTTATTTTCTGGCCACTGTGAATTGTTATGAGTGTGTGTGTCTTTTCTGGGACTGCCTGCTCAGAAGCTCAAGGGCCAATGATCTGCTGGCAAATGTATAAGCTTCCACCATAAAATAGGGCCTAATCTTACCTCAGACTTCACCCTACTTTCCTTTTTCATGCATTTCCATTTTCTCGGCTTTTTCCCCCTTCTGAATCTCAATACATTATATGGATATTTAAAAGCCATCTTAAAAATTCTGAAAGAAGATAGGCACATAGACTAGACCACCTCAACCAAAGTAACAGAAAACAGACTAGCTATCATCAAGGAAACAAACAAAATAGGGGGAAATGTTAATGGCAATGTAAATACAGAGAGATACCTGTATACCTATGTATACAGCAGCACCACTACTACAACAGTCAGGATGTGGAACTTGTCTAGGTGTCTAAAAACTAATGGTTTGAGAAAATGTGGTATGTATTCAACAAACAGCCTCAAGAAGAACAAAATTCTGTCAGATGCAGGAAAATGTATGGAAGTGAAGATCATTGTGAAGAGAGACAAGTCAAGCTCAGAAAGACAAATATTGCATGTTTTCACTTATATGTGGAAACAATAATATGCCATGATTTTAAAAGGGACTTTTTTTAAAAAAAGAAATCAACAGGTAGAAGAGGAGAGGAAAGGACATGATAATGATGTGCATGAAAATACTATAGAAGTACATTATATGAAACAGCATAATAGAAACCACTAAAAAAGGGGAGGGAAGCCGGGTGCCAATGGCTCATGCTTATAATCCTAGCTACTCAGGAGGTTGAGATCTGAGGATCACGGTTCAAAGCCAGCTTGGGAAAGAAAAGTCCCATGAGACTCTTTATCTCTAATTAATCACTAGAAAACCAGAAGTGGCGTAGTGGCTCAAAAGGTAGAATGCTTACCTTGAGCTGAAGAGCTAATGGACAGCGCCCAGGCCCGGAGTTCCAGTCCCACAACCAACAAAAAAAGGGGGGGGGGAGGCAAGAAAAGAGGGGAATAGGGAAAGAATAATAAAGAGAGGATGAATGTGATCAAGAGTATGTTATATGCATGTATGAAATGGCACAATGAAACTCAATTGTAAAATTAATTTATACTAACAAAAATGATAGAACATACATCGAGCAGCCAGTGGAGCACATTTTACAAGTGCTGCCTACTCTGGGGCAGTGGTTATGGGGAAGCTCCAAGCGAGCAGGCTGAGGGAGGAGTGGTGGCTTTGGATAGGAAGAGTCCTGGGCCAACCTGCCAACTCAGCAAACACCTGAGTCGTCTTCTTGTCTTCCTTCTGTCTCGACTTACCTCCTGCACACTCCATCCTTCCTTGGGTGACTGAATGTCCTCAGGCCTATCCCTGGGCACGGAGCACCTACTTCTCTTTAGTATATAAGTTTGTTCTTGTTACTCAATTCTTCCACCAAATGAAAATATCTCCCACCTCTACAGGACTTTGTGTTTGACCTTGCCAATGGCTGATAGCTCACCTCCCTTCCTCTCTCAGGACAGGAACCTTTTAACAAGGTATTTTGAATGATAATAATAATTCATCATGTAAATGATGCACTAATGATAGAATATACTATAAAAATGGTATAGATGCAAGCAAATAGGTGGGAAAATCATTTTGTAATTCTGAAAAAGCTCCATGTACAGCAGCTAACATTATTCTAGCATACAGTTATCATTCAAAAACCAGTAGGGAATGGCACTGTCCAAAAGAGAAGTACATGCATTACCTGAATTGTGAAATGGTATCCCATCTGCACAACACCTTCATGATAACAATAAAATTATATTACCAAAAAAAACCCCAGTAGACACTACTTATTACCATTATCACGTCTATCTCTTCCCGGCTGCTGCCTAACTAACTATTCATTGCCTAGGGCTGTACCACCATCAGGCAGATAACTGTCCTGCAAAACATTGATTACTCACAGATGCACACTCAATGGATATGTTTAAATTACACTGTATCACTTTACACCGTAAAACTTTTTAACATACTACATCTTGTTATCTTCCTGGCAATTTTCAAACCAAAAATTATTTCTACGTTCCAAATAGGGAAAGATTGCATTGATAAGGTCCCAGAGCTGAGGTCTAACTTAAATCTTATTAAATTTTTTTTGTTCTTTCTGTAACAAAAACAAGTGATTGCCAGCTGCATAACTACCACATCAGAATCATGGGGGGTGCTTTAAGATCCCTGGGTCAACCTCAAATCTAAGGAACGTGCAAGGCCGGGTAGAAGGGACTATGTGAGTCTGTATTATGGCAATGGATGCAGTGTCCAGGCTGCTTCTTGCTTGACTAAGTTCCCACTGCACTCTCAGCCCATGCTGCAGGCCACTAAGAAGCCATATGGAACCTTCTGCTCTCAAAGAGCTAACAAAGCAACCAAGGAAGAAAAAGCAGCCATGTGAAAAGAGTCAAGAGGGCACTAGTTGGCTTGAAAGGAGTTCAGAGTCAGTGAGACTACAGACAGCAGGAGTGAGGTCATGATACAGAGAAGGGAAGATTCCATTAGGCCTTGTAAAAATGGGGAAGATTTCCATGTAGAAGAGGTATGCAGAATGAGACGCTTTGAAGATAAATGGTAAAAAGTGAAGTCTGGCAAGAATAAAGGGAATAGTGGGAGGTGAGCGAGAAAGCACAGGGCCAGATAGTGAAAGTAGAAAAGTACGAGAGAAGCCTAGGCTGGTGTGACAGCTAGTGTGGAGGGGGCAGGGATGGCTTCTGGTCAGAGAGGAGCATCCTGTAAGGTGAACTGAAGGGTGACTAGTGTGAGCTAGTGTGGCAGTACAGGGTTGCAGGGTTGAAAGGTGGAAAACCTGGTACCAGCAAGGACACTGAGGAGCCCACTGAACAAACTGACATTTCAGATACCAAGAAGTGAGTCTATGATTCTACAGTGTTACTCATCAAGATGGAGTCAAACTAGGCAATGAGATGAGAGCATGACCTGAGTCTTCTTGATATGCATGTGGTTCATATTCTACCCAGCTGTGATCCATAAACACTACAAAAGATGGCCAGGTGGTTATACTTCTCCTCCCTGTAACCATGCTCCTTGCAATGAGACTGTGATGAGATCCTCGCACCAAGAACGCTTACCTATACCTCCTGAATCTAGGTTACCCATACAACCTGCCTTAGCCTACAGAGTGCAGTGGGAACACTTGGCCTCAAGACTATTCTGTCTCTCTTGACACCATGCCCAATCACCAAGTGAACAGAGTACTTCATTGAAGAACAATGAAGAACATGGCTTACCACTTCAGCCAAAAAAAAAAAAAAAAGCCTGTCCTGATTTGGACCTGATACATGAATAATCTCAGTTGAAACTAGAAGAATTACAGAATTGGCCCAGAAAATTAAGCAATTGCTGTTTTGAGTGAGTGACTTTTGGGAGTAAAGTTTGTTATACAGCAAAAGCTAACTGCTACACTCTGACAATAACAGAACAGCTACAATATCAGTGATTCTACATGAAGCCTGAAAAGCATTTCCACTTAAAAAGTGCACTTTTTTTTCTTGGTTCTAAAGGATATTTTCTACTAACAGAAAACTGTTGTAACTAGTTAACAGTCATGTTTGGCTAAGTTGAGAAATGAGATAAAAAAAATAGATCAGTAAGCAAAGGAAGAATTGATACTGTCGAATAAAAAGAAATGTACTCAATACCTGACTTATGTAACTGTAACCCCTCTGCATATCACCTCTGTAATAACAACTAAAATAGAGATCAGTAATAAGGAGTGTAGCTCTGATATGTTGTAGCTGTGTGTCAATTTTCATTACAACACACTGCAAGGGACTGTGAATTCCTTGGCTGAAGTAACAGTTTGTTATTTTGGATACTATTTGAAACAAGCAGACCATCAACAGGAGCCTGGAAATAGTTTCATTACAAAGCGAAGTTTTTATTTGAATAATATTTGGTATGCAGTGGCTTAGCTCTCCCTTACCCATGTTCTCAGCAAAAGAATATGAGTTGCTCTTTATTTTTTGTTTTTGGAAGGCATGGGAACATCATAAATCATTCTGGAAAGGAAAAAAGTACAAATATATAGACATCTAGTCATAGTACCGGAAAGGATACATCTAACTTAGAAGTGTGAATATCATTTCAAAAATAATGTCAGAGTCACTTTGTTTTATAAAGAAAGAGAACTTACCAGTAAAATTTAGTGTGGTCCAACGTTTTCAGGTTTTAAGTAGGAGAGTGAATCTGAAACAGAATTAAACAAACATTCTGTAAGTAAATCACATTCGGATAGTGTGTTTTGGTCCCAAGTGACTGCCATAAAGTTGAGTATTTATTCTTTTAGTTAAAGATTAACAAAGCTTTTTCTGGCTCCTAATGGAGGAGAAAGTGTATTTTTTTTCTACATGTTTCAACTTCTTGAATAGAGAGTGTTTTCTCATCTACTTCAGGGAGTGCTGAAAGTCTGAGGCTAGTATAACTATAAATGGTAGTGTTTTCATCCAAACCCCTCTAAGTCAGCACAAGCCTCCTTAGCTGGTGCTTTTCCTTTGGTCTCACAGCCCCCTCTGCTAGGACCCAGTCAAGGCTCCATCTATGGACTCTCGTAAAAACTGCTGGTCAGCCTAACCTGAAGGACAACAGGAGGGCATGCCAGACTTTCCAACAGTGGACAGCAGTAAAGTTACAACAAGGTTTTGTCTTATCAATAATGGTGAGCTTCAGGGTGTGTTATTCAAGAGAAACAGAATGCAAGCCATGTGTCTAACATTACATGTGTTATTTACCACATTAAAAAAGGAAACCTGTTAATTTTAATAATAGTTTAAACTTAACCTTTTATCCAGAATACTATCATTTCATGTAAAATTAAGACATTTCACATTTTTAACCTAATTTTATTGTGTATATTTGAGGCTTACAACATGACATTATGAAATATACATAAATATTATAAAATAGCTACTAAGCTGATTAACATATGTATCATTCCAGTAGCTCTTTGTGACAACAGTAACTAAAATGTACCAACTTAAAAGTCCCCAATATATGTTGGATGTATGGCTCAGGTTGAAGGGCACCAGCCAATGAGTGAAAGTGTCAGATACTGAGGTCAAGTACCAGTCTCAGAACAACAACAACCAAAGTCCCTAATATGATAGTTTTATTCACTTTGATCCTCATGCAATAAAGCAGATCTATAGGTTGGTTCATCCTATGATACAAACGCTACTTTGTATCCTTTGACCTGCATCTCTCCTTTTCCTCCTCTCTTTTTCATAGGACATCTTCACAATGCAGTTGTATCTCTCAACCCAGGATAGCCACAGCACAAGTAGTCAATAGCACACAGGGCTGGTTTCTACATGCAGGACAGCACAGGTCTGGGGAATACATTTGTGGCGATCAGGTGCTGGCCAATCAAGTCAAAAGTATATATAAATTTTATTCATCCATTTTCTTTTTCCCAGTGATCCATCATAACCTCCTTTAATAATGTCATTTCAATGGAAATCATAAAGTAGAGAGAGCAAATATACAGCATTTCCTATGTGCCTGTTCTTCCTGTTATTTCAACTAACCCTCACAAAAATAACTTGAAGTGGTAAGTCTATCATCATTCTCATTTTGTAATGAGGAAATCAAGGGAGGCCAAGTCACTTACCCAGGGTTATAAGATGGTGACATTCTGCCTGTATTCCATGCTCTTAGCCAATATACTGTCAATTAAATTTGAACAGCTCAAAATAGGGTAATTACTTTTAGTTTTAATTATAATCATCAAATGATCCAAGTTTGCTCTCATAACATGTTTAGATACTAGCAGTGATGGCAAATTGGGAAGGTTACTGATGTGCTAGAAAATTAAATTAAAAAACAATTTGGGATGGAACAGGAAAACCAGTATAGTAGGCCTGGGTTCTAAGGAACTGCAATGAGCCTGTAGGGCCTGTGTGAATGGCCCAGGTGGAAGGGACAGGTGCTGTATGTGAGAATTATGAAAAACTTTGTCTTTGTGATTTTTCTCAGGGAAGGGTCCACCTATGATTATAGTAAGACATGCTGGTACTGTCTTTGCAGAGGTGAGGAGTTAAGACTGGAAGAATTAAGTCAAAAGCATGGGAGAAAACACATCCTATCCACTTCATTATTCTGTATTTAGTGAGCCATTAATCTATACTCAATTCATGCACAATCTTCCTACCCGTATCAGATAGGAAGGAGGGTGGTAAGTCGGTCAGTAATACCATTTAGAACCCATGGGGGGAGGCCACTGCAAGGCACTGTAGCCTTGTCTTACATGGGAACTTGAACCTGCTGAACCTCTTCAGCTCAAGGCTAGTGCTCTACAACTTGAGCCACAGCGCCACTTCCGGCTTTTTTTCTTTTTTGCTTATGTGGTGCTGGGGAATCGAACCCACAGCCTCAGGCATGCAAAGCAAGTGTTCTACCACTGAGCCGCCTTCCCAGCCCCGTCCTCTAGGTTTTATGATCTAGTCCAAGCACCTCAGCCTTGTCTGAAAAAGCTCACATGACCTGTCTGTCCCTATTCCTAGCACTTCCAATGGGCTCTTTGTCCTTCAGCCACAACTCTTAAGTACCAGTAGTAAGTAGTATTATTCAATTCAGTTAACAGTTATGTGGCACTCTTTCTGATAATAACAATAAAAGCTGGTCTTTACGGAGCTATAGCCAAGTGCTTCACAAGCTCCTCTAACCCTTTTAGTAATCCTCTGAGGTAGATTATATTGCCCTATTTAGCAGGTAAGTAAACTAAGGCATAGAAGTTAAGTCAGTAGTCTAGCATCACAGGCCTGTCAGTGGCAGTACCAGGCTGTGACAATCTAGTTCCAGACCTGACATTCTTTTTTTTTTTTTTTTGTCGGTTGTGAGGATTGAACTCTGGGCTTGGGCGCTGTCCCTCCTCAGCGCGTCAGCTGAAGGCAAGCACTCTACTGCTTGAGCCACAGCGCCACTTAACAGTTCTCCCATTCCTGCCAACTAGGCACCATTATTCTCTACGCTCATTGTCCCTTTAACTCTGCCACTGCAAGTAACTCAAAGTTCTCATTTATTGGTCCTTGAAAATTGAGAATCATCCTGTAATTCATTTTTGTCTCTCCAAGACTTTAGTAAGGTGTTTGGTGTGTGTTTGTGTGTACACACACTCATATACAGAAACCTATCATATCATATATATGATATATGATATGATATAATATATAACATAATACATAATATGTATGATAATGAGTAGCTATATATTACATATATTATATATTACCTATCATATAATTTATTATATATGATATAATATATAACATAATACACAATATGTATTATCATGAGTAACTATATATTACATATATAATATATATTATATATCATGTATTACATAATATATATTATAATATCATACATATTATAAATATATAAAAAGCCCAAAACTAGTAACAACAGGGTAGTCTCCAGATATAACAAAACAAATTTTAACTTCATCTTTTATATCTATCCAGTACCGAGGAAACAATTATTTCCTATACTTGCTCAATATTAGAGGGAACAAAACAGCGCAGGACAGACCATATTTCCAAGTTCATCAGCTTCATCTTCTCTGTATATAGATCTTAAGTAAAAGTACTTGGTGGACTTGACTGGTAGTGTATGCTACAAAAGACACATTACAATTTGGCCTCTTGGATGGATAATCTTTGCCCTGAATTCTATGTTTCTTTCTGTTACTACCTAAACTCCTCCTGGATGACTGTGAAAAGTAATCTTGCAGGATTACTTAACAGTAGACAAAAGTTTCAAGATCTGGAACACGCGAAGACCTCTGCAGACAGAACACACTCTTTTTAGCTCACATCAGAGATTCCATTAAGGCTCTGGCCCACCCTACCACTCACAGATTTAAAAATTAACCCTAACACCCACCTTGCCCTCTGCATCTGAGTGCAAAGACTTCCCATGAACAGGGATAGCAACATCATCTATCACTAATAAATTATAAATGTAGTTTGATTTGCTATCTCATCTCCCCCTACAATAATAACAATATTAATTTAGCTATTGCTGAGAGGTTTACAGGGCATAGATTGTGTTCTAAGCATGATGGTAGTTGCTGAAGATAACAGCAGTGAGTAAGGAAATAATTTCTAATGAGGTTCTTATTTGTAATGGGAGACAGAAAATGAATACGTATAGAAAGAAGTAAAAAGATAATTTCCAGAAGTGTTTAAGTTCTAAAACTTTTTTTTTTCATATCAAGGAGCAATGTGACCTAATGAAGAGTTTGGCTACACCTGCTTAGCAGTGCTGTGAAGGTGTCTGAAGAGGCATCAGGGGCTAAGGGTGGCCAATTCTGAGCCTCTTGACTGTTGGGGTGAGATGTATGGGTACTTTTCTATGATGGTAGCAGCAGAGATGGAGAGAAGTGGATGGATTTCTGGGGCAATTAGGATTTGCTGATGAGGTAGATGTGGGACATGAAACTGAGATTTTTTTTCTCACTCAAGCAACTGGGTCAACAATGACTTCATTTACTCAGGGAGAGAAACAGGTTGAGCAAGAAAGAAAATCAAGAATTCTGACTTGACCTGGTTAACTTTGAAACATTCACAGACAGAAGGCAGTATGAAGTCTAGAACTAAGCCAGGCATGGTGGTGTACACCTAAACTTCCAGTACTCTGGAGGCTAAGGAGGGAGGAACATGATTTCAAGGGCAGCCTGGGCTACATAGTGAGTTCTAGGCCAGCCTGCACTATAGAGTGAGACCTTGTTTCAAACTACCAAAACCACAAACAAAAAACGAAACAAACAAACAAAGAGAAACCCAATACTGTGCTCCCTAAAATAGTTACCATCAGTACATATGGGTATTTGAACTTACATATAATTAAATATTATCCCATTTGCAATTGCTCTGTATGGACTAGCATAGGTATAAAACATTTCCATCATTGTGAAAAGTTCCTTTGAACGGAATTTGTCTAGAATGCACACAATAACCTCTTGGATTCTTTCCATTACTATAACGTTTATTGCAATTATAAAATAGAAAGTTATAGTCCTAGAAGACTATTAGCTTTGCACTGGCAGTTGGATTCTGATTAGTCTCAATGTATTTGTTTCAACTCTCATTTTAATTTTCTAGGGGGAGGGGAAACACCTGAAGTCTGACTCTCAGCTCTGTCCTTATTACCAGTGACTTTTGGGAAGCCACACTTACTTTGTGTGTGCC